TCACATGGATCCAAGCAGCTGCAGGAGTCTCGAGTGAGCTCCCTGCACCCACTGAGGCACCTGTCAGGTGGCTGCCAGGTTTAAGTTGGGGATATAGTAAAAGGCTCATTATATTTGAGAACATTCTGCATTTTTAAAATATTTCCCCCTGATTTTTAAACATGCTTTTTCCTTCCATTACTCATTTTCTATACCCTTCTAAAGCAGGAAAGGGGGAGTATTTTCTTGCCCCTAGCATCTAATTCTTAATTCTTGTTTTTAGATATATTCTACTTAAAGTCTCATAGTGCTCTTGAAGTAAAATGAATGGGTCTTTCCTAGCCGAAAGTTCTCTTGGCTCTCAGGGCTCCCTTCTTATCCACCTCACCCCAGCCCCAGGGCAGGAGCTCACCTGCCATCCCAAGGGTCACATGGCACCATTGCTCTCCCAGGGCCAGCCCGGCCTCAGTGACACCGGTCCTTTCCACATCTGGCGCCAACTCCCCATGGCTGCTGCTTGCTGCTTTTTCTGTGAGAATGTGCGTGTCCTTGAGCGTGTTCAGCACCGTTGGCCTGTTCACATCACTGATGTTTCTTGGGTCCCTGGGTCTCTGGCCGGGGCTGCTGCAGACTGGCTGTCATTGCGGCTGGTGGGCCTGGAAGGCAAAGCTCTTCCTTTTGCCCTTGGAGTGTCTGGAGACCATCCTCGGTTAGGAAGCGGTGGAGCTCTGGCCCTGCTCTGCACCAAGACAAGGGCACATGTGTGAGACGGAGATTCAGAGAAGCTCTGTGCTAGATAAGCAGGTGCAGTGTGAGTTAGCAGAAGCCGGAGCTCCTGAGGGCACACTTTGCAATTGGCTGTTCAGTTTGGGCTGGTTAGTTCTGTCTTTGAAGGCTTCCTGGCCGAGGGCTGGTTGGGTGTGGGTGTCTTCTCTCCTGAGCTGAGGGCAGTTCATCCAGTGCACGGGGCGGCCACTGTGTGCCAACTCCAGGCAGGCCTGGCTCCTGTCCTTGGACATGTTTATGGTTTGGTATAGTTCTAGGGGTGGATGATAAAAAAATAGTTCTGAAAATTTTTCTTTTCCTTTTTTTTTTTTAGAGATGAGGTCTTGCTCTGTCACCCAGGCTAGAGTGCAGTGGCATCATCATAGCCCACTGCAACCTCAGACTCCTGGGCTCAAGCAATCCTTTGGCTAAGCCTCCAGAGTAACTGGGACTGTAGGCGCATACCACCACACCTGGCTTTCTTTTCTATTTTTTTTATAGAGATGGGGCTTCACTATGTTGCCCAGGCTGGTCTTGGAACTCCTGGGCTCACGAGTTCTTTCCTGCCTCAGCCTCCCTAAATGCTGGGATTACAGGTATGAATCACTGTGCCTGACCCATTTTAACCTTTTTTTTTTCTTTTTTGAGACAGGGTCTCACTCCATTGCCTGAGCTAGAGTGCAGTGGCCTGATCATAGATAGCTGCAGCCTCACTCACACTCCTGGGCCCATGGATCCTCCTGCCTCAGCCACACTGCCACACTTGGCTAATGTTTCTGTTTTTGTAGAGACGGGTTGTGCTCTTGCTCAGGCTGGTCTTGAACTCCTGGCCTCAAGTGATCTTTCTGCCTTAGCCTCCCAAACCCCAAAGCGCTAGGATTACATATGAGCCACCATGCCCAGCCCATTTTAACCATTTTTAAGTGTACAATTCAGTAGTATTACATACATTCACAGTGTTGTGCCACTATTGCTGCTGTCTATTTCCAGAACGTTCTCATCAGCCCAAACAGAAATTCTACACTCATTACAGAATGAGTCCCCTTTCTGCCTCCCCCAGCGCCTGGTAACTGCTATTCTGCTTTCTGTCTCTATGAGTTTGGCTGTCTAGGTAATTCACGTAAGTGGAATCACACAGTCTCTGTCCTCTTGTGTCCAGTTTCTCTCGCTTAGGACGTTTTCAGTGTTCATCCGTGTTGTAGCAGGTGTCAGGATTTTATTCCTTTTTAAGGCTGAATAATGCTGTGTTGCATACGTGAGCTGTGTTCTGCTCACCCGTCTGCTGATGAGCATGCGGGTGTTTCCACTTTGGCTCCTGTGGATGGTGCTGTTAGCGACACTGGTGTGCGAGTGTCCGTTTTAGTCCCTGCTTTCAGTTACTGGGTCTGTACCTAGAAGTAGGATTGCTGGATCGTGCAGCAATTCTGAGTTTGCTTTTTTGAGGAACTGCTGCCTGTTTTCCACAGTGGCTGTGTTATTTGACTTTTCTACTAACAGTGCGTATGGGTTCCACTTTCTTTATATCCTCAACACAACTTGTTATTTTCACTTCCCAGTGGGTGTGAGATGGTGTCTCACTGTGGTTACAATTAGCATCTCCCTATGGGCTAGTGATGTGGAACATCTTTTCATGTTTTTATTGGCCAGCTGTATATGTTCTTTTCAGAAATGTCTATTCTCAGTCCTTTGCCCATGTTTGTTAAGTTGGGTTGTTATGTTGTTGTTTTAGGAATTCTTTATACTTTCTGGAATTAACCCCCAACCAAATACATGATTTGTAAATATTTCCTTCCATTCTCTGGGTGTTTTCACTCTCTTAATAGTGTCCTTTGGGCCGGGCGTGGTGGCTCACGCCTATAATCCTAGCACTCTGGGAGGCTGAGGCAGGAGGTGGGAGGATTGCTTGAGCTCAGGAGTTTAAGATTGCTGTGAGCTAGGCTGATGCCAGGGCACACTAGCCTAGGCAACAGAGTGAGACTCTTGTCTCAAACACACACACACACACACACACACACACACACACACAAAAAAAAAACCCAGACAAACAAGCAAATAAAAATAGTGTCCTTTGATGCATAAAAGTTTTAAATATTGATGAAGTCCAAATTATCTGATTTTTCTCTTGTTGCCTGTGTTTCTGGTGTCATCTAAGAAATTATTGCCAAATCCAGTGTCATGAAGATTTCACCTCCATTTTCTTTTCTTTTTTTTTTTTTTGAGACAGTCTCCCTGTGTCGCCCAGGCTAGAGTGAGTGCCATGGTGTTAGCCTTGCTCACAGCAACCTCAGTCTCCTGGGCTCAGCGATCCCCCTGCCTCAGCCTCCCGAGTAGCTGGGACTACAGGCATGCGCCACCATGCCTGGCTAATTTTTTGTATATATATTTTTAGTTGGTCAATTAATTTCTTTCTATTTTTTGGTAGAGACGGGGTCTTGCTCAGGCTGGTTTCGAACTCCTGACCTTGAGCAATCCGCCCGCCTCAGCCTCCCAAAGTGCTAGGATTACAGGCATGAGCCACCACGCCCGGCCTTCACCTCCATTTTCTTTTAAGTATTTTATAGTTTTAGCTCTTAGGTTTCTGGTTTTGATCCATTTTGAATTAATTTTTATGTGTGATGTTAAGATAAGAGCTCAGCTTTGTTCAGCATGTGGGTGTCCAGTTGTCCAGCACCATTGTTTTCCCTTTGAGGCAAAGTCTCATTCTGTGGCCCAGGCTGGAGTGCAGCAGTGTCATCATAGCTCACTGCAGCCTCCAACTCCTGGGCTCCAGCCATCCTCCTGTCTCAGCCTCCCTAGCAGCTGTTACTACAGGCATGTGCCACCACACCCAGTGAATTTTTCTTTTTTGTAGAAACAGGGTCTCAGTTGTGTTCAGGCTGGTCTTGAACTCCTGGCTTCAAGCAATCCTCCAGCCTTGGCCTCCCGAAGTGCTGGGGTTACAGATGTGAGCCACCATGCCCGGCTCAGCCCTGTGTTTTGAAAAGACTGTCCTTCTCCCGTCAAATGGTCATGGCACACTTGTTGAAAATCAGTTGACTAGGTATGCAAGGGTGCAATAGCTTTTTTTTTTTCTGGCCAGTTTGATTTTTTTAAAAAGATTTACAAATGGTAAAATAAACTTTTTTTGTGTGTATGGCTCTGTGAATTTTAACACGGAGATTCATGTAACTACTCCCAGAATCAGAATGGAGAACGGTCTGTCCAGAAATGTCCCTGTGCTCCTTTTGTAGTTACATCCTCCTCCCTCACCGTGACATCCACGATGTGTTCTCTGTCTTACAGTTTTGTCTTTTGCAGATGGCACCAAAGTCCCCAGGCGGTGCCGTGAGCTCACCTCACACACGCGAAGAACATAGGAGGAGAGCGGTTTGTCACATTTACCGTTCCTGTTGCTGTTCCTTTATTCCTGAAGTTCCAGGTTTCCCCCTAGTATAATTTCCTTCTGTATGAAAAACTTCAATTCACATTTCTTTTCAGCCAGGTCTATTTGTGACCAGTTCTCTTGATTTTCCTTCTTCTAAAAGTGTCTTTATTTTCCTTTCATTTCTTTTTCTTTTCCCCTATTCAGACCTGATATTTTGCTTTCATTTCTAAAGGATCTTTTCACTGGTTGTAGAATCCTAGATTAACAGTCATTTTGCTTTCAGCACATTAAAAATGTTTCCTTGCTTTCTGGCCTCTGTGGTTTCTGTGAGGATTCCACAGTCATTTGGGTTGTTTCCATATAGACGATGCATCCTTCTTTATCTGCCTGTTTTGAGATCTTTTTTACTTCGCTTTTGGTTTTCAGCAATTTAATTATGATTTGGGCATGGGTTTCTTTGAGCTTATCCTGTTTGAGGTTTGCCAGGCCTCTTGAATGTGTATTTATGTCTTTCACTGAATTTGGGAAGTGTTCAGCTAGTATTTCTTTTTTTTAACCTGTCAAATTTAGTGTGGGGGGGTTGTATACCAACTTTAGTGACACTAATGTTAATAAGTTCTGATAACTCACTGCCATCGGACCAACCCAGCTATTATTTCTTCTTCTTTTCTTTTTTTTTTTTTTTTGAGACAGAGTCTTGCTCTGTTGCCCCAGCTAGAATGCAGTGGCATCATCACAGCTTACTGCAGCCTCAGACTCCTGGGCTCAGGCAATCCTCCTGCCTCAGCCTCCCAAGTAGCTGAGATTACAGGCATGCACCACCACACCACACCCAGCTAATTTTTCTGTTTTTGGTAGAGACGGGGTCTTGCTGTTTCCCAGGCTGGTCTGGAACTCCTGAAGTCAAGTGATCCTCCTGCCCTGGCCTCCCAGCGTGCTGGGATTACAGGTGTGAGCCATTATAGCTGGCCTGTTTCTTCAAGTATGTTTTCAGCTTAAAACTTTTTTCATCTCTCCTGTTGCAGCTCCAGTGCACAAATGCTCGGCTTTTGAGCCTGGCGTACGTTCCCTGAAGCTCTGTTCATTTGGCGTCCCAGTCTTTTTTCTGCTCAGACTGGATGATTCTGTTGCTGTTTGTATTCACTGACTTCCCCTCTGTCATCTCCATTCTGCTGTGGAGCCGTCCGTTGATTTTTTATTTTAGTTATTATATTTTTAAACTCAGATTTCCACTTGGTTGTAACTTCTGTTTCCATACCAAGACTTTCTTTCCTTTGGTTCAGGAAGGTTTGGCTTTGCTCTGAGGAGCTGGTATGGCAGCCACCGTAAAGGGCGTCTCTTGATTATCATTTGCTTGGAGAACTAATCAGACGTCCTGCCTCTCTGTGTGCCACGTCATGCTGGGTTACGTTCTGGATGACTTTGAACACGATGTTACGAGACTCTGGGTCTTGTTTGAGTCTCACAGAGAGTGTAGATGTTTTTGTGACGGCAGGAAATCGGCCTGTCAGGTCTGGGCAGGTTTTGACCCCTCTCCTGTGGCCATGCTCACAGGCCAGTTTGGCGCCAGCGCCTTCACCAACCTGTCCCTTAGGCGCTGTTCGGGGCCAGTTTGAGACCGGGGCGATGGTCTACCCGTAGGTCAGTTCTCTTTGGTTTGCCACTTAGGGTCAGGTTCACACGTGGACCATCCTGGGACTAGCCAGGTGCTCACATAGCTGTGTGCAGCCCGTCATACCCTCCTCTCACCACCTCCCACGCCTGGGCCTCAGGCCCCTTTCAGGTCCCTTCTGCACCGTGGTGCTCGGGACATAGCCTCCCCAGGGTAGAGCGTAGAGGATGGGGAGCGAGAACAGTGGGGGCCCCTGTGCTCTTGGGGCCCCTGTCCCCTCAAGTGCTGGGTGCCTGCTGGGCCGCTGCCACCATCACAGGGCTTTAGCAGGGGCTACGCTCGCCTGCTGGCAGAGCCAGCAAAGACGACGCATAATAGAAAGAACCAGGGCTTTTTGCCCTCTCTGCTCTTTATGGGTTTCCTTGCCCTTTCCCCAGACCGGAGAGAAGACTTCTCTGTGAGTGCTTTCTGCCTGCATCTGACACCTGGGTTGGGAATTTTGGCTGCTCTGGAGACACAGAGGAAGGCCGTGTCAGCCAGGACGCTCACCTCCAGAGACGCTGTGCTTGAATTCCAGGCTCGTGCCCTGCGGAGCTCGCAGGCCCACCTGGAGCACGTGGCTCTGCGTCCATCCAGTGGCAGGGACAGGAGGGTTGTGCTTCTGCCACCCGAGAGCCAGAGCCCCGTAGTTGCCCTTCTGTGGCTGCAGTTTCCGGCCAGAAAGCAGTTGGCTGGGCTCACGGATGGGTCTCTGCAGATGAAGCTCCCTTTGCAGACGTCCTGTAACACTGTGCCCGCCTTGTCTCCTCCAGGACTCGGGCCTGGGGAGCGACGCTGCAGGTCCCGGGCGGCCTCCCCAGCCGCGCCATGGCCACCCCAGACGTGAGCGTGCACATGGAGGAGGTGGTGGTCGTGACGACCCCGGACACCGCGGTTGATGGCAGCGGCGTGGAGGGGGTGAAGACGGTGCTGGTGACGACCAACTTGGCTCCTCACGGGTAAGGACTGGGCCTCGGTGCCACCAGGCCCGAGTGGGGCGGGGCGGGCTCGCCCTGGCATGGCTGGCGTGGCTGGCGTGGACACACGTCTGGGTGAGCTCGGGGTTTCCTTTACTTCTGAGACGGGACGCAAGTCTCTGTGAGCGCAGAGTTTGCAGGAAACAGAAACGGCGCGTCGGCCGGGAAGCTCCAGTGCAGACTTTGGTAGGATGCCTCATCCTTTGCGTCAGCGTGGCCGCGTGGTTTCGTTTCCCAAAATACGTGGTAATTTCTCTTTTGATGAGAGGGAGCAGCAGGGATGGCCGGGAACCGATTTTTCAAGAATGACGCTGAAGGGCCAGTGATTCTCTTGGCATTCCTCATGACACTGTGAGTTTCTTCCTCAGCTCTCACACCAGCTGTCCACGTTGAGCACTGGTTGACGAAAGGCGCTCCTTTGCCCAAACTGCCGGCTTCCATTTGTTGGCCCGTAGGAGGGACTGCTAGGAAGTGGCGCAAGGCTCCGGCTGCAAACGCATCCCCCGCCCTGCGTGAGGGGCTGCCTGAGCCCTCACTCTGCCCCCTTCCTGTGAGGGTCTTGCAGCCTGGGATCTGGAGATGTGAGCAATCCGATCCTCTTCAGTCCCTGGAGATTTTTGTTCAAGAGAACAATTATCCAACATCAAAGAAGCAAATTGGCACTTTTTGCCTTCTGCCCGAAATTTCCCTGGTGAGAACCACAAATTCACTGGGGGGGTGTTTCCTCCCTTGTCACCCCTGTGGTCTGCTGGTTGCTCCTGTGCCCCACGGCACAGGAGTCTCTGCCTGCAGCCTGCAGATTCCTGCTTTGCCCCTGCCCAGCCTCTGCCCTTCCAGCAAAGGCAGCACCACGAGGATGAGAGTACTCCCACGTACGGCTCCGCTCCTGTAGTAGTCTGTTTGCTGCTTAACAAACCACCATAAAACTTGGTGGTTTAAAGTGACAGATGTTTGTTGTCCTTAAGATTTTCTGGCCCAGGCTGGTGCTGCTGGGCCTAGCTAAGCTCACCTCCCACGGTGGGCCCCTCATGGTGCTCGTGCCCCACCGGGTGGTCTAGGGTGGCTGGAGGCTCTTTGCATGTGTCCCTCACCCTCTAGGACGCACTTGGGTGTATTTGGCCAGCATGGAAGCCGCAGGGCCCCCTGGGGCCAGGCTGTGGGCTGGTGGTCAAAGCGGGTCGAAGGATCAGCCTGAGGTCATGTGGGGAGACGCAACGCCCGTCTTGATGGGGAGCCGTGGAGATCGGGGTCATGGAGATCGGCTGCACTGGCAGGTGCTGAGGTCCCGCCCCACTGAGAGGAAAGGAGAGGCCACCTGTGCTTTCCCCTTGGGGTGAAGGCCCTTGGCCATGGAGGCTGATCACCTTGAGGCCCTAAGACCCTCCTCTTTTTCTGTGGGGAATCTGTTAACCTTCTAGTTGGAAGTTGAGATTTAGTCTTGCTACATGTTTTCTTAAAACGTGAGGGAGTGTAAGCTGGGTAATTACTTGGTGGGCGCAGATTTCTTTCGTGGTTGGTTATCTGGGGAGAACTTGGGGCCCCCTCTCTTAGTAAGCCTGGGAGCTGCCTGGCGCCCACTGACGCGCCATGGCAACGGGCCGAGTGCTGGGGAGGAGGAGGCAGGATTTTGTGGCGGCCAGCAGCTGCATGGATGTTTGCTTTAAGCAGCGGAGAGGTTTCTCAAGTAAAGTGTGAAGTACAGAAGCTTCGGGGTCCGCCGGGCTGTGGGGGCCTCGTGGCGTCGTCCTGCAGAGGGTGGCTCCTGCCTCAGCACGTGGGTGCACTGGGGGAGCAGCGCATGGCTGCGCAGCGGCCGGCGTGAATCGTGGGGTGGCACTCGATGACCCGTCGTTGCAGCCCTTGGGTGGCCTAGGGCCCTTCTCCGTGGAGTGTCCCTGGCCCTCACTTTGCAGGTGGCCTGGGGTGAGGTTTGCCTGGTGACCCTGATGCTGCTTGTCAGAGCTCCCTGCCCCGCCAGAGCTGGTCTTAGCCACCTGTTCCACCATTCTCCTCTCCATCTCCCAGTGCGGGCCTGGACAGCAGCTTCCTCCTGAGTTTGTCCACCCCCTTTGGAGTTCTGATGTTCCCACTTAATGTTATTCTTTTTTTTTTTTTTTTTTTTTTTTTTTTTTTTTTTTTTTTTTTTTTTCTTTTTCCACTTAATGTTATTCTTCACATAATACGCCCCAAGGGCCAGATTCCAAGTGTGTACTTTTAATCAACTGCCATTTCTGACCTGACTTAAGGTGAAATAAAACTTTGAGAATCAGAGAGCAGTGAGTTCGCTGGACAGTGTGCTCAGGTGCTCTAGAGGAAAGATCTTGGACGAGCAGGCTGCCCTCTACCTCCCGGGCCCTGTGAGTGCCCGCTGCTCAGCGACTGCTCTCCACGCTGTGCCTGTTCGGGCCTTCCGGGGGACAGATGCCATGCAGGGCCCCGTACGGCTCTGACCGAGGGGGGCCGGGCAGGCAGGGCCTCAGATGCAGCACGGGCACCATGAGGGGCCCACTGTGGGAGGTGGGCTTATCCTGACGGGTCCAGGGCCATCTGCAGAGCCTCGCGCTGCCCACGGCCACCTCCTCCCCGTCTCCATCCTGGGAGTGTGCCCCTTGACCCCTCCTCGTCCTGCACTCCCGGCTCCCAATGCCACCGTGCTCCGGTAGGTATCTTCCAGCCCTGCGCCAGCATCAAGCCGTGTGGCATCGTGGCCCACCCTGCTATTCCTGGGCCCTCTGCTGCTTTTTGGATGGTGCCACGGCAGCGCCTCACACCACAGCTCACTCTTCCCAGGGATCCCAGCCCAGTCGGGGCTTCAGCCGAGGAGAACTTCGGCAATCACCTGCTGAATGGGCAGTAAACTGTGGAGCATGCACATGTGGTTTTAGGTAAACTCCTTGCAGTACAGAAGAGCACACCTGGCATACTCACCTATCATGGGGTGCAGACCTGGGCGCTCCACCCAGACCCTCCCAGCCCTTACGGGTTTCAGAAGCCAGGGAGACAGTTCTGCAGGGAAGGTCTGTGCACACACATCGTTGTGCGTGGTGGGAATGCTCGGTGTGTAGGGTTGATTCCAAGAAGTGAAGATGATGGGGCCAGAGGCACCTGCTGTCCAGGCTGTGCTCAGGTCACCCTCCTGGGTGTGTCTGACACCACTGGGGCATCGGCTCCCCACGCTGACCCTGACACCCGACTTTCTCCCGTACTCGCGTTGATGACATTTCCGTCTTGGGGCCGTCTGGGAAATCGTATCCAGTTGTAGCTTTTATGTTTGCGTTTCTTATGAGTTACGCGATGTCTTTCCATAGGTTTCGCCAAGGCCTCGGGTGTGGCCCGCCTTCCCGCTGGGCGCTGCGTGTCTGTGCACCTCCCTGTGTAGTGTCAGGAGGGCCGCTGTCTTCTTGCCTTATAAACATTCTCCCCCACAGTTCTCTTTTCTTAGAACATTGTGATTGTCTCCTATACAAAAAGTTTTTATTTTTTTAAGGCAAAGTTATCTTTTTTTATTGCTGGGCTTTGTTTTATATAAGAAAACCCTTTACTACTTTGAAACTAGTAAAAATTATCCTCTTTTTTCCTTTTAATACTTTTTCAGAGACAGGGTCTGGCTCTGTCACCTAGGCTAGAGTGCAGTGGCACGATCACAGCTCACAGCAGCCTCCTGGGCTCAAGCGATCCTCCCACCATGGACTCCCAAGTAGCTGGGGCTATAGGCTCACACCACCAGTTTAAATACTTTATTTGTATTTAAATACAAATGTAAATGTTCTCCATTAAATACTTTTATTTCTTCATCTTTTACCTTTACATTTTGATTTGTCAATAATGTATTTTGTTATAAGTAAGATTGGGACATAGTGAATTTTTTCCTTTCTAAGATTTTATATTTTCTGATAGTTTCTACAACTATATAAGGGAAATAAAAAGCGTTATTAAGGAGAGAAATGGAAGTGCGGGACTCCCGTGTGAGCAGTCGTTGCTTCCCCAGATCCATCGTGCTGGTTTCGTGGGCCAGGCACTGCTCTGGCACCGGCGACGGGCGGTGAAGACAGCCGGGAGCGTGCACCCGCGGTGTGAGGGCACCGCGCGGAGCCGTCCGCTCTCAGCCCCTGACTCCGCAGCCTCTGCCATTTCTGCATAAATTAGGGAAGTGTAGCAGAAGATCCACAACGAGCAGCCTCCTTAATGAAAGTGCACAAAGGGCACCGTTTCCTGCTGGCGTCGAGCTCAGGGACCCTGATGTTCCTTCTCTTTCTTCCACCGACCGCAGGGGCGACCTGGCCGAGGACAGCATGGAGACGGAAAACGCAGCAGCAGCAGCCGCCGCTGCCTTCACAGCCTCCTCGCAGCTGAAGGAAGCCGTGTTAGGTAAGGCCCGTCTGGTCTGCGGCTCCTCTGCCGCCGCCTGTGGCCCTGCGAGAGCAGAGGGCAGCCCCAGATTCCGCCGCCCTCTCTTCCCTGGGATTTTGTTCCCTGCTCACCGTTTCTGTCCCTGTTGTCTTTCGTATACCTGTCTGTCATAACTCTCTGTGAGCAGTGGTAAAAATTCTTTGTAACACCTTTGGTGTTTTTCTGTTGTCCAGGATTAAAGGCCCTAGAATCTTTAAAACCTTACATTTCCCTACAGTTGTTAATCTGATTAACAACTGTAAATCTGATTCCATTTCCTCAAGCGGCTCTTCAGTGGAACCCGAGTTTAATGGAACCATATTAACATTCTGCAGTGAGACCTGTTTGGTCTGCTGAGGACGCCCTCCCGCCGCGGTTCTCTCTCGGGCATTCCCGAGTTTTCATTTCCGTTCCCAGATCAGTAGCTATTTCTGCGTTGGCAGGAGGTGTGTGGAGAGGTTGTGACTGACTTTCTGCCTTTGCACTTTCATCTCCGCCTGCCTGTGAGAAGTGAAGATGGCTGAAGAGGGGGAGAACCTGGAGGCCGAGATCGTGTACCCCATCACCTGCGGGGACAGCAGAGCCAACCTCATCTGGAGGAAGTTTGTGTGTCCCGGTATCAACGTGAAGTGCGTACAGGTAAGGGAATTCTTTTTGGGAGAATTCACCTTTATCTCAGGTTTCAAGTGATTTCCACAAATTTCCAAGGAAGTCAACAGCTCACAATAAAACAAAAAATGCCGGACACACAGGAAAACAAAGTCCCCAGGTGAGAACATGCAGAAGCAGCAGGCGGCAGAGTCAGCCATAGATACGGCTCAGGTGTTGGCATTTAAGACATGGGGTATAAAATAATTACATTTAATTTATATTAAGAAACAAGAACATGAATCAAGACATAGCAGATTTTACAAAAATACAACTGGAAAAATAGGAATAAAATTAAACATTTAACGGCTAGGTCTCTTATAGCAGATGAGACATAGCTGAAGAGGTAATTAGTGAAGTGGAAGATAGAAGTTAAGAAATCATTCAGAAAGAAGAAGAAGAATAGGAGCATGAGAAAGTCTAACACATCTGTTTAAGTTCTGGAAGGAGAAGAGAGAGGCTGGGAACTCTCATGACCGAGGAGAGACAGAGTCCACATTGCAAGAGCCCTAACGGGTCCTTAGCTGGATGAAAAGACCCCACTACCTCCATCCAGGACGGTTTGACATCAAAATAAATAATGATAGCCGTGAATTTTAACTCGAGGGAAATAAAATCTACGAGGCTGTATTTATTACAGTATATTTCACATCCGTTATTTATGTTAAGTGAATGTGTAGTGCGGTCAGCTCTTACGTCAGAACTCCAGCTGCACAGCGTGGGAGGAATGGGGAGGGCAGAGTTGCAGTGGGTGCTGGACTCGGTGGTGTAGCCTGAGGCCGCAGTGGGCTGTGGTCGCGCCACTGCACTCCCCTCTGGGCAACAGTGAGACCCCCTCCCTGAAAGCAAGAAAAGGGTTAGGCTGAGGTAAAGACGTTTTCAGACAAAACTGAGTTTGCTGCCAACGCGTCATCACGGAAAGATGTTCTGAGTGTGTATTTCAGGCTGAGGGAAAGTGATTCAGGTAGAAGTGCCGAGGCGCAGGAAGGCCTGGGGGTCAGGGTGGAGAAAGGAGGGTAAATCCTAGCGGCAGACGCTGCATGGCGTCCGGAGTGGCATCTCGGGGCTTCTAAAGGTGCCTGGGGCAGTGGCAGCGCTCCGGAGAGGCCAGTCGGCTCTGGGCTCTGACAGCCCAGCGGGGCGAGAGACGCTCAAGCATGCGGCCCCCAAGGAGAGGAGCACACAGCTCCCCAGCAGGGAGGGAGAACGCACAGGGAGGCGCCGGCAGCCCTGTGGAAGGCGAGGAAGGGAGCAGGCAGTGCTGGAAGGGGAGGCAGGGCTGGCCCCTGCCTCGCAGGGGGAACGGCCTGTCCAGTGCAGCCAAGTGACCCCAGGGTGAGCCATGTGGGGCAGTGGTGGTGGCCAGGAGGGGCCTCATTCAGGGCCACCAGCTTGGGCCTCCTGCTGGGCTTGGGTAGTGGCTGGAGGGTCTGGCAGACTCCACCTGCCTGGGCGTCTATCTGGTCTCTCCAAGCAGCTGCACAAGGCCAGGCTCCGGCTAGGCTCTGTGTCCTCGGCTGAGGGGTGTTTATGAGAGAAGCGTGCAGGCGCCCCACAGGCTGGCCTGGGCTCGGCAGTGCCCCAGCCTGGTGCCAGCCTCTGAGACCTTTCTTGCCCAGCCTGCTTGTTTTCTGAGTAACCACAATTTTATTTTCATTCTTTGGTTCTAATAATTGCTTTTGTAACAAGACGATAGGATATTTTTCCTTCTCAGGCTGTCATGTACGTACGTATTATCATGGAACAAATAGCACAGAAGAGGCTTGCTGAGAAGAGAGGGCCACGTGGCTTCAAACCGGCTGACCCTTCCCTGCTGGGCTCCCTCCCAGTCGGGGCAGCCCTCGTGTCTGAGGCCACAGAGCCGTTCTGCACAGTGGCTGCCGAGGGGACGCATCCTGTTCTGCCCGGTGCTCTCTGCAGGGGCCGGGCAGGAGAGGAGGGCAAGCCCTGCCTGCTTCTTGGAGCCTGACCGTCTGCTGTGCTCTCTCCCCAGTACGATGAGCACGTGATCAGCCCAAAGGAGTTCGTGCACCTGGCGGGGAAGTCCACACTGAAGGACTGGAAGAGGGCCATCCGCATGAACGGCATCATGCTCAGGTGGGCGTTGTGGGTGCCTTGCAGCCCCATGGGGGCCCTGGAGCCAGGTGGCCCTTCCTGGTGGAAGGGGCACGGCAGCTGCTGCTTTTTCATTTGCTTTTGGGGTTTTGAAGACGAGGCCATTTTGGATGTGAGTGCTAATGACCTCCCAGATGGCCACACCTCCCCACATCCCTCCCAACTCGGGCACATGTTAATTTCCACCAGGTTTTTACCTGGAGCATTTGCGGCTATTTCACTGTTAGGAAGTTGAGGGTATAACCTGGCGTTTGTGCATCAGATAGGTGCAGGCATCACGTTTAATCTCTTATGAGTGTGGCCTTTTATGTTGTTCTCTGTTTTTGTCCTTTTCGTCACTTTTTCCTGACACATGCAAGTGGTGTGCGCAGTTGCTCTCTTTGTACCTGTGAACTGTGGCCTGAGTCTGTGTGCCTGGAGGGTGCAGAGGCCACAGGGGCTGGGTGGCTGGTGGCATGGCCTCCGCCACACTGCCCGAGCAAGGCCGCTGCTCTGTGCCGGAGTCTGGGGCCTCCTGGGTACTGGCTGTGGTCCTTGCCCACGCGTCGGCCCCTGCTGCAGCGCCTCTGATTCCTAGAACGTGCTGGTGGCCCAGCTGTGGAGACCAGCAGGGGAAGACTGCTGCAGACGCGCCAGCCCAGCAGGTGCCTGAGGTCAGCGCTGCCCAAAGGCCAAGTGAGGCTGGAGCCTCTGACCCCCCTTTCACGTGTGGAGGCGGCTCATGGGGCAGGCCAGGCTGAGAGCCGGGACCTCGGGCGGGGCCGCCCCACGGCACCTGGGCAGTTGCAGGTCCCCATGCTCAGAGCCTTGCTGAGAGGAGAGCAGAGCCCAGCCTGCCTCCTGGAGCCCCCCTGGGCAGCACCTCTGCTGGGCCCTGCCCCCACACAGGCGGTGGCCCACGTCGGGCGGCTGGACGAGGTTCTCGGAGTGTGGGCCTCACTGGGACCCCTGGTCCTCTGCCCCGTGCCCCAGGAAGATCATGGACTCCGGGGAGCTGGACTTCTACCAGCACGACAAGGTCTGCTCCAACACCTGCCGCAGCACCAAGATCGACCTCTCGGGAGCCCGCGTGTCCCTGAGCAGCCCGGCGTCTGCCGAGTACATCCCGCTGACGCCCGCTACGGCCGATGGTAGGTGCGCAGGGCCGCCCTCCCGGGTCAGCGTGGCTTGTCCTGACCTGGCACTGGGCTTCTGCTCCCGCCAGGGGCCCGTGATGTTGGGGCTCGGCCTCTACCTCCTCATGCGTTGCTGTTTTCAGTGACGGGAAAGGTGAAGTTCTGTTCTTCCTAAGCCGCTTCTGCTCCGATGATCACGTGTGGAGAAGGGCGCAGGGGGCGGTAAGGGACCCTGGACCCCACCCCCATTGTCCCCATGCCTGCCCCGGATCTGGAGCCACTGCCCCGTTTCCTGGTGGCTGTGGGTCTGCTTGTCTCCTTCCGACCTGCTGTGCTGGGCGTCGTGCTGCAGGTGTCCCCTGCCTGGGTCTCTGGTGACGGTGCTCTCCCATGTGGTGTCTGTAGCTCTGAGCTGCAGAAAGAGTGGGCATCCCCTGGAATGCTTTCCAGCTTTATGAATAGGGAAATTCTCCTAAAAATGGAAGTTAGAGTGAAATTGGGTCCAGAGTCCCCTGGCCATGCCATCGGGTGATCTTTGGCAGTGTCGTGTTCCCAGCAATGTCACTTGCTTTGTCCCCAAACTGTCCCTCAGCATGTGGGCTGGAGTGTGCTTCTGTGTGACCGGGGACATCCTTGTCACTGGCCCAGATGGGGACCAGTGGAGGCCCTTGACCCATGTTCAAGAGGAAGAGTGAGGCCAGGGTGGCAGGGAGGCCTCATCCTCCACCCCTGGCCTTCCCTGTGCCCTGCCAGAGCAGGTGGTGGCTCGCGGAGCTATATCCTGAGTGGCCCAGGACTCTGCGTTGTGTGTCGGGCTGACCTCTGCTGGCCCTGCCCTCGGTCGGTGGTAGGGTTTGCAGCCATGGGGAGGTGGGGGGTCAGCGCTGTCTGCACCAAAGCTCAGGTTGGCTGCTGGGGGTGGGGCTGGCCAGGCACTCCCGGTGGGCCGGGGTCGGGGGAGGGGGGATCGAGGCCCAGCCTCCCGTCTATGCCCTGCTGGTGGCTGCCCCAGTGGCCAACATGGACAGACCAGTCCGGGTCATACTTTTTCCTGAGCAGTGACGGGGCCCCTGAGCCCTGCAATGCCCGCCCAGCCTGGGAAAGACAGAGTCAGGTTCAGGGTTGGCTCTTCTGATGTTGTGTTTCCTCCCACCTAAAATCTCTGAGAACCTCTGACCTGGCTGCTGTGTAGTCAGTGAAAGATTGTGTATCAGCCCAAACTGTGAAAAGCATTCATTCCTGCCCCAGATAACAAGTGTGTAGTAACATTCACCGCCACATCCATCAAACGTGTGGAAAAGGCAGCACGACAGCAAAAGGCCCCCAGACTGCGCCTGTGGCAGGCGTGTCCCAGCCAGGCCTGAGCTCAGAGCCCCAGGTGCCAGCAGTGCCACAGTTGTGGATTTTGCCAGTAGGAATGGAGTTGGCGTCTCTCCCAGAGTCCCACCTCTTCCGATTTAGAAGCACGGGCAGGCGCTAGGTGCTGAGACTCACTCAGAGCGGAGTCAGGGAACGTGGTGTGAAGACGCGGGGAGGGGAGCCGGGCGGCAGGTCCGACCACGGAGCAGGCCCAGGCACCTATAGGTGGGCCAGGAGGTCGCCACCTCCCCATGGCCGGGCACAGAGGCGTGTTGGGTAAAGCTGTGAACATGGCAGGAAGAGCGGAAGGTGGAGAATCATCGAGACCAGGCGACGGGCTGAGGGTGGTTTTGCTATTCTCCCGCTGGTTGTTTGACTCAGAGATGGGAGGCGAGCCCAGCCTGCGCTCTGCGTGGTTGCCGTGTGAGAACGGTGGGAAGGAGAGGTGTGCACGCGAGGGGCTGGCACAGGGCGGCATGGACTTGCCATCCGCAGTGGCGCTCACCCGACTTCCCTCTCGGCCGCAGTGAACGGGTCTCCTGCGACCATCACCATAGAGACGTGTGAGGACCCTGGCGACTGGACGGCGGCCATTGGAGGTACGGGGTTCCCCGCGAGCCTCTCACGGGTGCGGGGCTGGGCAGTCGGGTCCGTGCCCGCCACAGGCCACACGGGATCAGGACCCAGGCGGGCTGGGGAGGCTTTGCGGGGAGAGGTGGGCTTGGGCCACTGTCCTCGAGGGGGCTCCCAGCCCAGCTCCCTGGCCCACCTGCTGGACTTAGGCGCTGTGACATGGCTGGGTGCTTCGCCGACCCCCGGGTGGTGTCCCCTGCTGTCCCCTGCTCTCCCCACGGTGGCTGCCCCGTGTGGCGACGCTCTTCCTGCCCACCGAGCCCCTCCCTCCCTGGCAGATGACACCTTTGCCTTCTGGCGGGGTCTGAAGGACGCCGGGCTGCTGGACGAGGTCGTGCAGGAGTTCCACCAGGAGCTGACGGAGACCATGAAGGGCCTGCAGCGGCGGGTCCAGGACCCCCCCCTGCAGCTCCGAGGTGAGGGCCCTTCCAGCAAGGCAGGCAGCGTTGCCAGCGTGGGGCGCCAGGCCCCTCTGAGCATCTGGTGTGGGAGGGTCGCTTCGCCTGCCCTCAGACGTCTCCCGCTGGGCGGGGGCCCCTTGGCGGGCTGGGTCCCGAGCAGCTGGCCCGGTCCCGGGTTCCCAGCGAGCGCTCGTGTGCCCTCAGACGCCGTGCTGCTCAACAACATCGTGCAGAACTTCGGCATGCTGGACCTGGTGAAGAAGGTGCTGGCCAGCCACAAGTGCCAGATGGACCGCTCGCGGGAGCAGTACGCCCGGGACCTAGCAGGTACGCCAGCGGCGCCCACGGGCTCGCCTCTCTGCTGTGCGCACACGCCTCTCAGTCACAGCTGCTCCTCGGAAGCCCAGGCAGCGAGTGACCCGCAGCTGCCACGCGAGGCAGCCGTCAGTGAGACTTGAGAGACGCGGTCAGACTCCCTGTGGGGTTGCGGGTCCTCCCGTTACCGACTGTCTGTGTGCACCAGGTGGTCACTTCAGAGAGAGTGACAGGGAAGTGGACGAGACCACTCGCCACTGTGACCTGTTTGCACTGCTCTCAGCTCATCCTGGGCTGTACCTGCCGTGTGTGTGCACCTGTGTGCTCACAGCAGACGTGTAGATGCTGTTGTGACCACTTTCTATCTCACCATATCACAGAGCAACTCCCTGTGCAAGAGTAGTGACTGGAACACGTGCGAGCTGCCAAGAAAGGGCCGGCAGCCCTGCCAGCCCTGAGCTCAGAGTCAGAGCAGGCCCTGGGCCTGAGGGCCACCCAGTAGTGGTGGTGTCCTTGTCCCCTGCAGTGACCCTGCCTGTCCCCCTCACCACGGTGATGCTGTCTGCCCCCCTTGTCCCCGTCCCCCACGGTGATGCTGTCTGCCCCCCTTGTCCCCGTCCCCCATGGTGATGCTGTCTGCCCCCCTTGTCTCCGTCCCCCATGGTGACCCTGTCTGCCCCATCCCCATCCCCATCCCCCACAGTGACTGTGTCCCCATCCCCCGCAGTGATGCTGTCTGCCCCGTCCCACCCCCCTCGGTGACACTGCTGTCCCCCGTCCCCGCAGCCCTGGAGCAGCAGTGTGACGAGCACCGCCGGCGCGCCAAGGAGCTCAAGCACAAGTCGCAACACCTCAGCAACGTGCTCATGACGCTGACGCCCGTGTCTCTTCCACCCCCCGTGAAGCGGCCCCGGCTGGCACGGGCCACGTCAGGACCGGCCGCCGTGGCCTCGCAGGTGCTCACCCAGTCTGCCCAGATCGCACTTGGCCCGGGCGTGCCTGTCTCCCCGATCACCAGTGTGCCGCTCGGCAAAGTGGTGTCCACCCTGCCCTCCACGGTGCTGGGCAAGGGCTCCCCTCAGGCCCCTCCTGCCAGCTCGCCGGCCTCCCCGCTGCTTGGGGGCTACACGGTCCTGGCCTCCTCGGGCTCCACCTTCCCCAGCACCGTGGAGATCCACCCGGACGCGTCCAGCCTCACGGTGCTGAGCACGGCCGCCGTGCAGGACGGCAGCACGGTGTTCAAGGTGGTCAGCCCCCTGCAGCTGCTCACTCTACCTGGCCTGGGCCCCACCCTGCAGAGCGTGGCCCAGGCGTCGCCGGGGGGCAGCACGATTGTGACAGTGCCGGCGGGGGCTGCCCCGGGGCCCGAGGAGCACACGGCCACTATCGAGGTGGCCACCGTGGCAGAGGACCACGAGCAGAAGTAGCCGGCGGGAGGCGAGGCCCCTGGGGCGGACAGGGCAGGCTGCCTCTCCGCGGCCGCAGGCCGGAGCGCAGCGCGAGGCCGCAGGGCCAGCTTGGGCAGGCGGGTCACGCGGGCTGCTGAACCAAAGAGAGGAATCGCCAAAACAAATCAAGAGAAGAGAGAAAGGGACGATGAGAGCAACCTGGAAAATCGGTCTTCAAGTTCCAAACTTCCTCCCCCTTTTTTCTTGGGAAATATATTTTTCCATCTGTTGCTTATTAATACTGTTTACACGCTGGGCCGTGGTCAGGAGCCAGGTGGACGAGGACAGGAGGAGGCCTGGGTGCGGAGGGTGCAGGGGCCAGAGCCTCGCGGCGGCGCCGATTGCCCGCAGGCCCTGGAGGTGCTGCGGCCACGCCGTGCTCGGGTCACTGCGGCCCCGGGACCGCGCCTGCCGGGCGACGTTACTACACATGTCTTGGGAACCCCTCCCAAGTGTGGAAACCCGTGGATCCTATGGATTTGGTTTCTTCCCACAGTTTTCTGTAGGGTTAGTGTGGCCTGCGCCCTGTCCCCTGCCTGTGTGGGAGCCTCGCCGGCGCAGGTCCCGGCGGGCTCCGACCTCCCCGCCCCGGCAGGTGCTGAGGTGGCCGAGGGGCCGCACAGACTAGGCGTGGCCGAAGCGCCGTTGCACATGTGCTGCAGGTGTTTTTAAGTGAATTGCTTAGTAGGCTTCTAGGAAGAGTCAAGTTTATAGCGTTTTCAACCAAAACGATGCTGAGTGCCTAGGCTTCCCAAGTCGGCTCTAGGGTGGGCCCAGAGCCTGTGTGTTCACCTGACCAGGTGCAGAGTCCTAGGTGGCGCCCCCTCCCAGGACGGCCCCTGCTAGGTCTGAGATCGTGGGCGTGTCGCTAAGGCTTGGGTCGGAGATGTGAGCAGGAGAGGTGCGGGGGGGATTGCCCCTTTGGCTTGGGGAGGCTCAGTGTGGCCCCTGAGTGCAGCTTGCTGGTGGGGCCGCCGTGATGGCCCCCAGTCCCCAGGCTCCCTGGGTGTCCCTTGGCTGATACCCGGGGGTCCTGGTCCAAGGGAGAGCCCAAGGCATCTGCGGGGGCCGTCCAGAGCGGGCTTGTTGGGGCCAGCTGGGGAAGGTGCAGCCCAGACACACCGGCAGGGCCGTCCGCAGGCTGCCTGCAGTCTGGTCTCACTAGGAAAACCACGCAGGGGCCAGATGTCTCGGGGGCAGCGACCCCAGGCCTCCTGCTGTCGCCGGCAGGGCGTGTCCTGGAGCAGGCCTGGGCGCCCGATAGTGGGAGGGAGCCTGGTCCCACCCGGCGGCTCTGGAGGGAACCAGCTGCCCACCTGTCCGTCTGTGGGGTGCCCTGGGCCCCACCTGGGTGCTGTTGTGATGGGGCCTGTCCTGCCCCCACCCCTTGTCAAGCTACTGAGTTTCTTTTTTGTTTTCTTTCTGTTACATTTCTGTTGGCTGTTGTCACGAGTCAGCTGGTTTGGCACAGTGTTTACATGTCTGTGTACATACCCCTTTTTAGACCCATTTTCACTCGCGGGTGAGTCCTGTCCAGTGCGTCAGCGGGGCCCTGTGCCCACCCACCAGCTCGGCCGCTTGGCGGACGCAGCTCTCTGGCCGGAGAGCCTGGGGCCTTCTCTGCTTCCCTTAGTGCGGGTCTGCACTCACGGCCGCCTGCTCAGCGGACTTGAAGGGTTGTGGGTCAGTTCTTTCTTTCTGTGGCAGGGCAAGGGGGGACCTGTTCTGCCTCCACCCCAGCTCGAGGGGCACTGGAGGGTGCTGACTCCAGAGCTCACAGGGATGCGCCGGCTTCACAGCTGACCCTGGCCGCGCTCCCCCTGGCTGGGGCCCTTCCCAGTGCTCCCGGGAAGCCGCTGACAGACGCCTGCTGTTCTCGCGGCTGCTTCTGGCAAGGGCTCCACGCCCCAGCTGGGGAAGGGCCCGTTCTCAGGGCCACCACACGTTGGGGAGGGTTGTCACCACTGTCCCCAGCACATGCCCCTGCGCCCTGCAGGCTCCCAGGACCTCCTGGTCCTGCTCCTCAGGGTCTGACTGGGACCTGGAAGGGAAGAGCCTCTCGACACCTACACACACGGGTTTTGTGGCCGCCTCTGGTCTGGCTTTCGGAGGAGGCAGGATTGGTTTGTTTCTGCAGAGAGGGCGAGAACTCCTCTGTGTGCGCTCAGAGGCACCCTGGGTAAGGGCCGTGTTTAAGTTCTGCTTTGTATGTTCTTTTGCAAGTTTCTGCTTGGTACTTTGGTTTAAAATAAAAACATTTTTCTTAGTCTCTGTGTCTGTCTCTTGTCACGGAAAGTTGTGGAGAGGATCGAATTAAATCTGTGAGCAGGTGCCTGCCGGACAGCCCAAGCTTGTCAGGCTCCTCGCAGATCCACTTGGCCTTTGCAGGGTGGCGTCTGGGGGCTCCAGGACCCTGCCGGGTGCCCCCAAGGTCAACACTGTTTTCGTGACAGCAGCAGGTGCCATTTGTATTCTCATTCTCCCAGAGGCCTGATGGGCGGGTGGCGGCTGCCTCCTTCCCGTTGCTATGACAATAGCATAGACGGGGTGGCTTGTGACCAGCAGAAATTGGTTTCTCGTGGTTCTTGAGGTTGGGAGGTCTGAGACCGAGGCTCCGGTTTGAGGCTGTTCTGCCGATTGCTGGGGTGCGAGTGGAATGAGGACAGCCTTGGCCCCCCTGACCCAGGGCTGGAGTCAGAGACGCCTCCGCCAGCGGCCACGGCCTGTGCTTGCGGTTAGGAGCCAACAGGCTCACCCCCAGCCGGCCACTTGCTCCCCTCCCCAGGGCTCGGTCCCAGATCCTCCCCGGTGCCCGCTGCTCACGTCCTGGTGCCGTCCCCTGCCCCAAGGCCGTAGGAGGTGGTGCACCCCGGCCACGGGCCAGACAGGGCAGACGCAGGCGTCCACACCCCACGACACCACGTAGGGAAGTTTGACGCTGCCCACGGACAGATAAACGTGCTCTGAAAGTCGGGGCACCGTTCCCTGGTAAGGAGTGGCCAGAGTAGCGCAGGGTGCTGGGTTTGGGGACACCTCCGCCTTGATCCAGGTGCTGGTGACCAGGTGACCTGATGGGGGTGCTCTGCCATCACACGTTCTGCTGCAGTGTCGCATCCCTGCGCTCACACCACGGTCTCCCAGGCGTCGTCTGCTCCTCAGAGCTCACGGGTGTGAGGCAGAGCTCCTGCTTCATGATGTCCGGAACCTGCTGCTTCCCTGTCACGCGTCGGGGGACACAACATGCCCCAGCTGCTCAGCCCCTTCCTGTAAGATGTGTCCCCTCCTCGCTGGGCAGGTCCCGTCTCTTGGCAGAGACAACCCTGGCTCCTGCCTGGGGCCCCTGTTGCCCCTCCGCCCTGGCGAGGGCTGTTCCCTCATCAATGCCCCGTGACACTTTCCACTCCCAACCCTTCTGGCCAGGGGTTCGTCACCTCTCGTGCCCACGGAGTGGCACCGGCCCCTCGGCGCCGAGGGTCCGCGTGGGCAGCGGCTGGAGCTCCCGGGCAGCAGCTCTCCGGAGGGCAGAGCCCCACAGAGCCCCACAGAGCCCGTCATCTGGACGCGCTGCAGTCGGTCCACTGCGGAAGGGTCCACCGCGGAAGGGCGTGTCGGCTGCTTCCAAGTTTTACAAACACGAGTGAAGCTGCCATAAACACTGAGCAGGTTTTGTGTGGATGTGAATTTTCAACTCCTTTGGGTAAGTACCAGGGAGCACAATTGCTGGATGGGCCGAAGAATGTGTTTACTCCAGGGGTCCTCAAACTTCTTAAACAGGGGGCCAGTTCACTGTCCCTCAGACCGCCGGAGGGCCGTTGGAGAGCGCGGCGCACATTCCACACATGCGCACCGCGGGCCTGGGACGAGTCCGCTGCTAAGCAGGACAGGCAGTTGCGGCAAAAACACCTAGGGGGGCCGCATGTAGCCTGTGGGCCGTAGTTTGGGGACCCCTGGTTTGGTTTGACAAGAAACTGACAACCTGTCCTCCAAAGCAGCCGCTCCGTTCCGCGTTCCCACCAGTGGGGAGCGAGCGTTATGCCGCGCCACGTCTGTGCCGTGTCCTCACCAGCGTTCCGTGTCCTCGGTGCTTTGGATCCGGGCCACTCCGTGGGTGTGTGACGACTGAGCCTCCACGTGCTGGCCCGTCGGTCCCCAGTGACACACGGCGTCCTCGGGTGAGGGGTCCGCTCGGCGCTCTGAGGGCCTGTTTCTGCCAGGTTTGATTGTTTCCTTCCTGCTGTGTTCTCGGAGTTCTTGCATGTTTTGGATGACAGCCCTTCTCGGATGTGTGGTCGCAGATTCTTTCCCAGGCTGTGGCTTGTCCCCTCCTCTCCCGACAGTGTCTTTCACGGGGACAACGTCGGTTTCAGTGGCGCTGGCCCTGTTGGCTGGGCGCGGCGGCAGCATCGGAGCCAGGGAGCCTTGGACGAGGCGCGATTATTGCTAATTGAAAACCTTTCCCACTCCCCCGCCCTGACGACTTGCGGCGTGATGATACTGACAGTGACGCCCGCACACGCAGCGCTGCGTTCGTGGGTCACGGGTTTGGTGTCGTACCCGGAAAAGTCACTGTTGCCAAAAGTCTTCTCGATGTTCGTCTGCTTTATCTTCTAAGTTTTATGGTTGTGTGTTTTTTACTTTTAGGTCTATGAGTCCTTCTGAGTTCATTTTTATGAAGGGTATAATGTCTGGGCCTAGATCCTAGATTCCTTTTTCTTTCTTTTTTGCATGTGGCTGTCGGGTTGCTCAGCACTGTTTGTTGAGAGGCTTTCTGTCCTGCATGCACAGCCCTTGATCCTTTGTCAAAGATCAATTGACTATGTCTGGACTCTCTATTCTATCCCGTCGACAGATATATATTTATTCTTTTGCCATTACCACACTGTCTTGATTGCTATAGCCTTCTATTCAGTCTTTTTTTTTTTTTTTTTGAGACAGAGTCTCACTTTGTTGTCCAGGCTAGAGTGAGTGCCGTGGCGTCAGCCTAGCTCACAGCAACCTCAAACTCCTGGGCTTGAGTGATCCTTCTGCCTCAGCCTCCCGAGTAGCTGGGATTACAGGCATGCGCCACCATGCCCGGCTAATTTTATATATATATATCAGTTGGCCAATTAATTTCTTTCTATTTATAGTAGAGACGGGGTCTCGCTCTTGCTCAGGCTGGTTTTGAACTCCTGACCTTGAGCAATCCGCCCGCCTCGACCTCCCAAGAGCTAGGATTACAGGCGTGAGCCACAGCGCCCGGCCCTATTCAGTCTTAACGTTGGGTAATTCCTGTGCTCAGACTTCATTCTCCTTCAGTCTCCTGTGGGTGATTCTGCATCCTTTGCCTCTCCATGTAAACTGGAGAACCAGTTTGTCGACATTCACAAAATAACTTGGTGGGATTTGGATTGGGATTGCATTGAAGCTGTAGGTCATGTTGGGTACCTTACATATTTTAAGGTTAGGGGAAACTTTTTGTGTTGGAAGCCCCATTAATCTAGCTGGAATCAAATAAGGCCACATTCAAGAAACTTCAGTTCGATAAAAACGTACCTGGTTTTGTAAAAAATCTAACTACTGTGGACTTAATAATTTCAAAAAATGAAAACCATTTGCTAATTTTAAAGTTAACTAGCCTTTTTTTTTTTTTTTTTTTTTGTGACAGAGTCTCACTTTGTTGCCCAGGCTAGAGTGCTGTGGCATCAGCCTAGCTCACAGCAACTTCAGACTCCTGGGCTCAAGCGATCCTCCTGCCTCAGCCTCCCGAGTAGCTGGGACTACAGGCATGCGCCACCATGCCCAGCTAATTTTATATATATATATTAGTTGGCCAATTAATTTCTTTCTATTTATAGTAGAGACGGGGGTCTCGCTTTTGCTCAGGCTGGTTTCGAACTCCTGATCTTAAGCAATCTGCCCATCTTGGCCTCCCAGAGTGCTAGGATTACAGGCCACGCCCTGCCTTAACTAGCCTTTTAAAGACTGTGTTGTGTCTGGTTTTTGTTGTAAAGCATTTGAATATTTGGTTGCAGCATGGAGATCTGCAGTTTCAGTTGATCCTCTAGATAGGTATTAGTCATTCGAGACCTCAAGGGTGTCTTGATTTGGGTTAGGTAGTAGAGTTGCAGCAATAAGTGGTTGAAAAGCAAGAAAGCATTTTAGGGGCATGTTGCCAAAGGCATGAGAATTCTACTGCAATTTTCCATATTTCAATTGGATCTTTCTTAGTGTCAAACAATGACTTTAAAATGTCATCTACGGAGAACTCAGTCGATTCCATCTGAAGTTCTTTAGAGGCAGTGATGCTGATTTGAGTATGATGTCATGATGCTCAAAGTCGGTGAACCTTTCATTGTATTCTCCAATTAATAGGTCTATAACAGCTGCACATTTTTCAAATGATTCACGTATATCATCCTGCTCATCAATGACCTTTGCCAACTGGGGAAAATGTTCATCCAAAATTTCCTTCTGAAGAAGTGTTTTGGAAAAAGAAAGATTTTGTCGAAATGTTTATTTTTTGCTACATATCATACATAGACTTAGTATTACCTTGCAAAGAAATATTCAAGTCATTTTTATTTGGCATTATATCATACAGAAATGGTGCATTCCTATATAAATCTTCTTTCAACAGCTCACATTGCTGATTCTGTTCTTCATAAAATTTAACTATCTGTTCTCGCAGAGATAAAATTTTGGCTAACACCTGTCCCTGCCATAGGTGATACAGCAAATCCACACTGAATGCCTCCTCATTCAGCTTTAGCATGTTACGAAACTGACGCTGCATTGTTGCATTTTCACAAATATAGTTAACTATACTTATAACTTATTGCAAAGTGTCACTTAAAGTAGTAGCTTTAGCAGGGGATTTTGCTGATGCAAGATACAATGGGAAGAAATGAGAGCATCTGTATCTGTTGATACTTTTTTTATCTGTGCAATAAACCCTTCATGTTTTCCTGCCATGGAAGGTGCACCGTCTATACATACACTCACTAAATTTACCAAATTCAGTCCACCTTCATGACATTTATTGTGAAAGTTGTTCAAGATATATATATTCCCTGTGTTCTGTTCACAAGAGTGCCCAAAGCGAGTAACTCTTCATAGCAAAGAAAATCTTCTGTTATGACCTGAATGAAGCATAAAACCTGTGCTATGTCCATAGTATCAGTTGATTCATGCAAAGCAATTAAATAATATACATTTTCCTTTTGAAGTGTTATGTGAAGTTGTTCTGTTAATTTGAAGGCTAATTCATGCTGCCAATCAGTTATG